CTCTCCACAGTTCCAACAACCTTTCTGCGTTGAAGTTGCCGGCATTGAGCTCTCTTGTGCCCAGGTTTGTTACAGTGCCAGCAAAGTCCCTCAAACTTCTCTGAAAGCTGCCCTTTTCTGGCCTTGAATCCTGATGACTGTACCAACCTTGGTACCTCTGTGCCGGACTTAACGTAGGATTCAACTTCAAGAGCTCTGGCCATTGCATCCTGCATAGTAGAGGGGTGTACTTGCTTTACTTGTATCTTCAGTTGTGGACTGTACAAGTTGTCTACAAACTGATTCCTCAACAACAGCTTGAGCACATCGAGTGGTGCAGTTGGGTAGGCCTTGTGTGCCATACTTTTCCAAATCCTGTGCCAGCTCTTGCAGGCTCTCCCCTTTAGCACTGACTCTAGTTTTAAACCTAGCCCTGTAGACTTTGGACTGATTTTGAGCTCCATACCTGAGCTCTAGAGCAGCTACCAGTGCTCTATAGTTGTGCCTGTCCCTTCAGGCTCATTGCCAGGTACACTGCTTTCTGCTCCTCTGTCCATCCATTCATTTCTGCCAGGAGCTCAAATTGTGCTCTATATGCTTCCCATGGTGCCTTCCCATCGAATTCCTGTGGCTTTCTTCATACTAGATCACCCCTATTGCCGACACTCATATCTGGAATATGACTTCTGGCAGGACTGAAGATGTCTGCATTAGGGTTTAGCTGCAGGGTCTGGAAGGGGCTTCTTTTTGTCTGGGGCTGATTAGGTCCATGCTTAATATATCCTCCCTGTGTAAAAGACAGTAAACAGTCCTTTAATGTATTTAATTCACTTTGAAATTTACTAATCTTTTCCATTTGTACTTCTTGTTTCCTTTCTTGTTTCAGTTGCCACTGGTGCTGGTTTTCTTGACACTCCTGTAGTCTCTCTTCTTGTTTATTTTCTCATTCTTCTTGTTTCTTTTCTTTTTCCTCCAATAACTGCTGTTATCTCTTGTTTATTTTGCTGTTTGAGCTGCCACTGTTGCAGATTTTCTTGCCACTGCTGTAGTCTCTCTTCTTGTTTATTTTCTCATTCTTCTTGTTTCTTTTCTTTTTCCTCCAACATCTGCTGTAATCTCTCTTTTTGTTTCTTTTTGCATTCTTCTTGTTTCTTTCTCTTTTTTCTTCATTTCTATCCCACTCTTTGACACCAATTTGTTACGTATCTGCTTGTTTGTTGAATTCTGATATAAATTATTTCTGAGGAACGTCAGTGATACAAGTCCTTTCTTAATTAAAACTAGTTTATTCTTTCTCAATACAACTTTGTAATACACAGAATTTCCACAGTCACTTTAAACTTAACTACTTTATAAACACATGCTATAATTCACAGCGATTCACACACCTTACTTACGTTGCCTACTGTTCGCTTGACTCAATTATCTCTATCTTCAATCTATCTGCCTATGCAATCGTGCTGGTTTTTCTTGCCAGGCTTATATACTAAAAAAGAGGGCACCTTGAACAAACTCGGGCCTACCCGATAATTCATGATCCTTCCAGAAACTCCAGCACACATGCTCCCAGTGTCATGCGACTTCCGCTGTCGTAACAGTGTACATTATATACTTGAACCAGCCTCTTACATTGAAAAACAAAATCTTGTTAAATATTACCTAAACTATTATTTGACAAAAGTTTGTATTTGTGTGTGTTTCTGCTTATAACTGGTAAGCCACTAAACTAATTGTCAACAAACGTAGTATGATCTCTTAGGGTCCCCCAGGGAGTTAAATGATTCATATCTGCTCCCCCCTTTATGTCAACCCAGGAAGGCCCACATCTTCCCCATGCATTGAATGGGTAGTTCAGCTAGTTATTACTTTATATGTAATTCTATAAGTTATTTTCAATGTATAAGTATTCCTAGACTTACTATTAATATCTAAGTTTTTATAAAATCATCAAAGAAACAACTTTTTCTTAACACCAAAAATACCATTTTTAAGAGTTTCAAGAAGTTTCTTAAGAACCAAGGCACCATTTCTCAGTTGTTCAATTTTCAGTAGTTGAGTAGATAGCTTCTTAAGTAGCTGTGCTCTCCACAACTGTTCCTGTGCTTGTAGTTCAAGGTTCTGATTGGTAGTTATAACCCAATCAGTCACTGAATGGGGAAAGAGATAAAGACACTCATGCATACACTGAAATATTGAAGCATTGTTCATGACTCAAGAGAAAAAAATTAGAATCAGTTTAATACATAATACTTTCTATTAAAACTAAAAACAAAAAAGAACAGATATTTCCTCAGATGTTTGGATGCTATATAGATATAAAATGTCAAGTCTGAATAAAACTTGTATCAGAAGAAATATACTGAATCAGAATTTAAAACATTAAGTATGATATGACGAAATACTTCAGACAGCTCAGCACCTTATTTTATGTTCTGCATCAAAGTGCCTTTTAAACTATACTCAAATACTAAAAAAATTGTAGAAACAGTGATTGTAAACTATTTTGAAAAATTATTTTTTAAAAACTGAAAAGCTAATAAATAAGTTTACTCTAACTAAATTCATCCAAAGTAATGTCATTCCCAAATGTCAGGTAAGAAAAAAGTTTAAACTAAGAAATTACAAATAATTTGAGAAAATTATATAAGAAACAGAAAATAAGTACTAAATTACTATGATGTAACTACGGCATAAGATAGATCATACTGACTTATTTCCAACAAAAATATTGATCCCAATGATTTCATTCTGATATTTGTCCTTGTGACTTAATTCTTATTGAAACCATACAACAGTGACTTACTTACTATAGAAAACATATTACGGTGACCTAGTATTGCAGGAAATAAATTGACTTATTTACTACAGAAAATATATATATAACAGTGGCTTAATACTGCAAGAAATACATCATGGAGATTTAATTTCCACAAGAAACAGAAATTTGTCAAAGTCACGTAATTCTTGTAGAAAATAGGTATCAATGTTCCAGTGACTTAACCCAAACAAAGATGGGTCTTAATGACTCAAATAACACAAACATTAAGTATTGAGCTTGTTATTTTTGTTTGTATAAATCACAAATGTAACTAAAACTTATATAATAAAGTACAGAAGCAAAATTATAAGTTTCCAATCTAACTAGTCAGGATACTGATGAGGTTGAACAAAACTTACAAAATGAATAAACACTAAAATATTTAAAAAGCAGTACTGAAAGTTAACATTATCCTAATCTGAAAACATATTTCTGATAGATACTCACCACACCTCACACAGAATAGCTATATTCCTCCCATGTCTGTCTAAGAGTTGCATGCCACAAGCATTGAGCTAACTCCCACCTAAAGTTCATGTGTTTAATGTAAGATGTGCTGGTGTATGATGACATCATCATGCAATAATATCTCTCCATCAATAGGATGTTGACACAACCTCCTTGTGCAGAAACTCCCCTTAAGCATTTGCTCTCGAAAGAACTTCATTCTTAGATGAGGTAAGAACAAAAGTGCACCTGAAGGGTGGAGGTCAGGTAGGAATGTATGAAAAATTATCTATCAGAAACACATTATCAGAATAGGAAAATGTTAACTTCTGAGACACAAAATAGCTAGAATCCCACACTGAATTGATGGTGCAAAAGTAAACTTAGATGAGATTCCACCAAAAAGCACCTGAAGGGAAAGTCCATGGAGTGTGACACCCAATGGCAGGGGATCCATAGGGGCATACCTGTGGGAGACCACATCTTGTCTCAACCAGGGTATACTCTACACCTGGAATGTAAAGGGAAAAGAGGCAAATAAACCACAAGTACCACAGGGATAGCCAGAATAAGAACATGTCTATCCAAGCACTTGTACACAAGTGGTTAGCAAGCCAGTAGGTGTAGTGTGATTAGGACATGATCAGACCATAAGGGGTGTGCTCAACTTGACTCAAATTGCAAGAGGAGAGCATACTAGCACTACACTAACAGTATCACCACTCTCCTACTTCTCACCATATTATGCTAAGCCCAATCAGTGAGGAACACTTGAAGGTCCACCGCAAGGGTCTATTGAAAAATAAGGGGGATCATTTGCATTAGGGAGACCAAGATAAGTGCCCAGGTCCCTATGAGATGTCTGCCAAAATGTTATTTTACTGGGGACAGTGTAATGGGTGATTGTGAAATCAAGCAGTCATTTCCCTGGTGCTGGCTTTTCCAGGATAGTCCATGTAATGGTATGGTCTGGATTGGGCAATTAAGTAATTTTTGTATACCACAAAAATACTTCTAGCAGTCTTGCAGAACATCCAATCTCAAAATTTGGACTGGCAGAGCCAGGGCAGTTGATCTGCGCTTTTACTGTTACCCATGACCACATGTGGATTTTGAGTAATAAGCATACCCTGGGAGGCAACACCAGCCACTTGGCAGGATCCTGTTATATGAAGAGTGAGAGAAAAACACACTGACCCATCTCAAGGATGGTGGGTCAATTGAAGAATAGTGACTGAGGGAAATAAAAATCCTGCGGGAGATGAAACAGCCTGATGATGAATAATAATGAGAGAAAAACGTGGAAAGCTGACCACATGCCCGCCTGGAGGATTTCATCTAAGGGCTGGGAAAATGAGAAGCAAGAAAGTGACACAGGAAATGACTGAGATGTGATAAAAAGTGAAAAAATCTGCAAGCATCAACATACAAAGAAGAATACACTAACTGGACAAGGTAATGGACCTAACAGGTAAGGGAAGAAGACAAAAGGTCCCTGGATGAAAAACACAGAACAGTCCAAAATAGACATAGGAGCCGATCCAGATCAGAACAAGCAGAGAGGTGAGAGACAGAAAAAAGGGATATATAGGTATGAAAGAATGGTCACTCTCCTAAAAGGCTGAAGGTAGAGAAAAAAAAATGGTCCAAGTAGAGAAGTAAGAAGTGTGGTGGAATAAAATTTGAGAAGCATCAATAGCATAGATATCTGAATGATGATGAACACTGACAAGAAAGAGAAGGGTGTAAGACATAAGAGAAAGGTAGGAGAAAGAGCAAGCACAGGACATGTTTGAGAGTGTTTAACACCACATGAAGGTCCCACTTAGGCAATGGAGTGAAGCAAGTGGGTCAGAGAAGAAGGAAGGATTGGAACAAAGTGGGCAGAAGAAGAAAACACTCTGAAAAGTAAAATGTATTGGATAAGGTGCCCAATAACCAGTGATGGTGGAGACCAACAAAGCATTTTTGAATAACCAGGTGAAAATGCAGAAAGGTGGATCACATTAGGATAGCTGGGAAGAAGGGAGTGGCAGATGGACCAACCATAAGAAACCCACCATTTTCATTGATAGACAAAGTGTAAGAGTAACAACAACAGGATAAAAAGAATTCATAAGGATGATAGACCAGACAAATCCCACATGTGAAGATAAATGGATGGTACCCCTAGATGAAGTAGGAAACTTGAGAGATGGAAGCAAAAGAGAGAGGACACTGGGTAGAGAAAACCAGGGTTGAGCTGGCCAAAGAGGTGCCATCAAAAGGCCCCAACAGGGAGTTTTGCTTATCAAAGCAAGAACCTGAAGGAAGAGTCAAAGAGAAGGCTAGGCATACAGCAAAAGGTGAGATCAACAGCTTGAGCTAAAGGTTGAGGAACAGGGGACTAGAAGAGAGGAAGCTTGGAGTTGTGAGGAGAGACATCCATGAGAGGTGTATCTGACCAAGAGGAAAACCAGCAAAAAACCCTGGAAGTGGAGAGACCACCCCATGGGCAGAATGAGGTTTGGTCAAGAGAAGCAATCCACAACCAGGTTTAAAGCTCCTGGTACATGATACAAGTAACAAGATGAACTCAATAGGAAATAACCTAGAAGAAGAAGTCCAACAATTGAAAGTAAAGAGTCCTAGAGCAGGTACCCCCTCAACAGGTGAAATAAGAAACAACCATGGAATGGTCAAAGTGGATCATGACCAACTGATCCACCATAAGAGATAGAAAATGGGAACATGCCTGATGAACAGCGAGAAGTTTGAGCACAGTGATGTGAACTCTCTTCCCATGCCTAAACACTAGAAGAGATGGTGTTAAAGCAACTATGAAAAGATGGAGATCCAGTTGGGGTGTGTTGAATGCCATTGTGGTACTGCATGATCTAGCCATCAAGAAAAATCCCAAAGAAGATTCACTATCATGGACAATGGAACTGGAGAAAGATTCCACCACTGGTCCTGGAGAAAGCCTATGTTTGTGTGTGCCCCAAAGGAATATGCATTCCATATATTCCAGTCATTCCATATATTTAAGGTGAACAGGTGAAGGCTGAACTTGACTGCAATGAGAGTAAAAGAAAATGCCCATATGTACTAAATACTGTGTAGGGATGAGAAAGGACTTGGAAAGAGTGACAAGTCATCACAACTGAGTAGCCTCCTGCAGAAAGTAGATGCAAAAATGGAAACACAGCCCCAGTGTGTGAAGGCTCACATGATTGGATCAAAGACATAAGGGACCGACACCATGCCAGCAGGAAATCAGAAGACTCAATTCTGATGAATAAAATGTGTGGATAATGAGATAATCAGGATATATAGAACGGTGTCCAACAAGGCAAACATAGTCATCCACAGACCAAGCGAAACAGACCAGGAGAGAGGAAAGTAATTTTCCACCCAGTACCACAGAACAACCAGAAACTGATTGAGAGATAATAGGTCAATAACTGGATACCAGTTCCAGGTCAACATGGGGAACACAAAGAGGTGAAAGTAAAAAAACCCTCTCAATGGCATGTTTGTTAAAAAGGTCCAAAACTAAATCCACAAGACTTTGAAGATAAACATGGTCAGAGGGAAGAGAAAATGAAACAGGAAGAGGAAAGAGGGGAAGAGAAGGAAATGGAGAAAGACTGTGGATGTAAAAATGAAAAACCTCAGGTGAAGTGAGACAAATGAGCACCCGCAGAGCTCAACCTGACAGGATAATCACCAAATAGATGAGTGACAAACTATACATCATGTAACAGGAGAAGAGAAATAAGAGGAAGGCCTAAAAGCAGGAAAGAGAAGGGTAAAGGTAGACTGATCCAGCTAAGGAACAGAAGTAAAATGGTAAGGTTGAGAAATACCAAAAATCAGTGAAGAAAGGGAAGACCTATGATGGGCTAAATCAGCCTAGATCTCCAGAGAAACCCATACACCACTGGAGACTGCTGAGTGATGAAAGGAGGCCAAACAAAGGTCATGACGAAATGAAGGAAAGCAGGTGCACAACAGTGAGAAGTGCATCCCAACCCAACAAGTCCCAACAGCACAGGAATCTAATAAGGAAGTACAGAGCATAAAAAGTGGTACAGGCTAAGATGGTAAAAAGAAGGGAACAAACCTCTCTGCAAGACCAATCTGACTAAAGACTCAGACTAAAGATGGAGAGACGAGAAGAAATGTAAAAGAGTGGTGAGAAAAAGACAAAGATGAGAAAATGGGGAACAAACTAAGAAAATAGAAAAGAAGGGGTCAGCTCCCCAGTCAGGCAAAAGAGATTCCAAAGACCAGGAATATAGAAAAAGAAAGGCTGGAAGTCAGGACAAAATAGTCATGAATGTGAGGGAGATGAGGCATATGGGTACAAGTGTAGAGTTGTTTGAGAAAGGAATCAGCATGAACTCTAATATCAGGTGGAAGAAAGGTAAAATAATTCCAAGAATAATGAACAGGAAGAATCAAAAGACATTGGCTAATGACAAAAAAAGTACGTACCTGAGAAATCATATCAAGAAAGAGATTGGAAGGTTGAGAATTTTTCCAGAACACTAAAACAATACCTAAAGCAAACCTGGGTGGAGGAAACAGTCAGTTAAATTTGTTGTTCTCTGGGCATTCACAAATAGAAGAGAAGGGAGAAGGCCCAGTATGCATGAGGGAACCCACGAAATGCTGTACAATGGCTGTAGCATCCCTCACAATAAAAAGCCTCCACAAGCCATAGCAGAAATAGGTCCCATGTTTGTAACTCATTACTTTCACAGGACAAATTAGAAATCAACGTCATTTGAGAATTCATTATATTAAACAATATTTTTAAACAAAAGTAAAGGCTGAAGAAAAATGCAAGATTCACTGACAATTGTAAATCTTGGTAATTTAAACATAGACTAAAAAAAATTAATATGTCTGTTCAAGTTAATGACAAGGAAAAAATAAAGTTATTTTGAGTGCAAGTGCTTAAGAGGAGTTACTGTACATGGAAGTTATGTCACCCTTCTATAGGTGGAAAACTATTGTTGTATGGTGATGTCATCATGCCCCAGCACAGTTCACATTAAATTTTAGGTGAGAGTTAGCTCAAGACTAGTGGCATGCAAATCTCATATGCAGCTATTCTATGTGCAGAGGTGAAGTATCATCACAGAAATTAAGATCTGGTAAACCAGAAGTCTGAAGATCTTGAGCTAAGTTTAGAAGATGGACACAGCCATTTGTATAAAATTTTATGTTTACTCAACAAGGTTTAACTAACCTCCAATTAAATACAAATGCTTCAAATGCACAATCTATTTGCAAGGTTTGGACTTGGGAGCTTTAAATTCAATTGAATGTTGCTTTAAGACAATAAAAATAAAAATTTTATAAATTCAGGCCAATTCATAAACTCCTCACTAAACATAAAAACGTTTATATTTCACAGTAAACACCTTGTATCAGAAAATAAATATAACAAAAGTACTTTTCCAGCTCACTTGTTAATATTTTCTGTGCTTCTCTCAGTTTCTCCAATGTCAAGCATATTTCTACAGCAACAAGTGCAACATGGGATGGAGATTTGATAACAAGTGGTGGGATCCCAATTGTGTTAGCAATTGGAACAGTGTCATGTTGTAGAAGCTGATAGAAATCTATCTTGTAGTCTAGCATTGTTTCCAGCACTTCAAATGTTACATTGAGATGGTTATTCTGATGGCTTTCCAGCAGCAATGCACAGCCCATCTGAGCTAGCAGGTATTGGTGAGGTTTATCAGGTAGATGACTGCCATTTACTAAAATATACAAACTTTTCTGAGATAATGGGAGAGAAAACAAAAATAATGTTCACTTTAATTTACATGAATGATTGGATAATATAAGAACTTTGTCAATGCATCCACCTGATACTTTCTTATTTAACAATCAGTGACTTAAAAAAAACAACAATTGAAAGTACAAAAGGAGTATTTCAAGACATTTCCCTCAATGCCTTTAATGAACAATATTTACCTAGCTTTACACTTACCTTTTTAGGAAGAGTAGCACAATTAAACAGTAATATACAAGCATCGAATATAATTAAAAATTATATTTTTGATGAGTGGCTAATTAAGTTAAATAGATTTTCACATAATGAAATTTAAATTTGGTATGTTGTAAAACAAAAATGAGGAACATACTGCAATATACAAATAATTTTCTCATGTTACCCACAAAATAACTATGAAAAGATGCAATCATTTTTACCAACCATAATATGTAAAGCTATCCAGTCTTTCAAACTTCAGATATTCTAGGAATCTATGAGTGACAGCAAAGAAGAATGTTATAATATGTCAAAAGCACTACATATATCACATCCAGTGCTGAAGAAGCCTTTCACCAATTATCAGAGCTCATCAGACTAGCTGGGATACAACATACGTAGCAGTGGTCTAGACATTATGTCTATCAATTTTCACGAACAATGAATGTTTTGGTGTGAATCTGATTATTTAAGTGAACTGCTATTACAATACATATTTTAAACTCATTTACAAATATGGTTTAGAAACGTATATATTTGGATTTCTATCTCAACACAAAGAGTATAGATATATATATATATATCACTTTTATGACTGCTTCTGTGTGAGTACAGATGTGAAATAATTCAATACACCAAACAGTGTAAATCTCTTCTGACATTCACAACTGCATCTATGTGTCTACATGAATACAGATGTGAAGCACCTCAATACAGTAAGAAGTATGAATCTTTTCTTTCACAACTGCCTCTATATGCCCAAGTGAATACAAGTGTGAAAATACTTTTGGACAAAAACGAAATTTTCCAGATTAACTTATAATAACTATGTCTATTGTGCAAGTGTGTAAATAACTTCCTATATATTGTATTGGGTAAATTTATTTACCATCAAAACAATCATAACTAAAACTACTGCAAGCAGAACATATAAGAATGAGAAGAGTAATAATAATTATGTGATAAAGTAAGCATTTTGAAAGAACATTACTTCTATATTTCAAAAAGTTTTTTAAATAATGCAAACTCTCTTTATAAGACACTTTTTATGATAATGGGCATTGTTTTATCTACTTTGTTAATGTGTTTTTTTAACAGTAATTCAAAATTTTAAATTATAAAATTATATATACTATAGTTTACAAAAAAAATATGAAATTGTAAAGTTATATCCCACAAAATAATAATAATTACACTTTTTATACAAAAACATACTATAAAAGTAGAGCAAGGTATTTAAGGCTTTATATTTTACAATCAATATCTTTTCTTTTGGTGCATTCAAACATTTTAGAGAACTCTTTTCAAACAGGCTGACATCACTGTTTGCTTATTTTTGTGCACAATAATTGAAAAACACTTTCGAAGATTTAATTTTTTTTCACCATATTTTCACAACTATTGAAACAATTTTCAGTGGGAATGAGTCTGTGACACAGCAGTATCCCAAAATATATATATACATGTATGTATTAGTGGTGTGACGATTAATCAAAATAATCAAAGATTGGTCATTACAGTTAATTGAACAAGTATTGGATTATGATTTTTCCATAATCGATTATAACCAATTACAAAATCATTTGTCAGGAATATGTTGTTTTTACATTTTTGTTATATCCTTGTTTCTCATCCTCATTACAAGAAAACTGGATGTTCATGTAGTTAGTTAAACACAATTAACATAGGTTTCCCCACTGGTTCACTCACCAAATCCAGGTTTGTTAGATAATTAACTCATTCAGCATAGACTCGGTCCCTGGGACCAATCTTGTAACCATCTTGTGCTTGTTATAGTTTTCATGTTATAACTTTTAAATTAGTAATCAAATGCTAGTGAAATTTGGCAAATTATTAATAAACATTACAATGCTTTCATATGCAAAATATAAAAATTATTTAAAGTCTTAAAATTTGTAAAGCAAAGCAAAGTTTTTCTCATATTTTCTTTTTCTTTTCGCATGTTGCCTATCTATCATGCAAAGTAATATTCATTTTAAGATTAAAAATACTTTTATGCATCAAAAAATTTTCAAATTTCACATATGAAATTTTTATAATGTCCAAATAGTTATCAAACATTTCTTATGAAAAAACTTTATATTTGATCTGTTATTTTCGGTAATTAATCTCTGTATGGGTTTGGTAGATTTGACCGATCTCACAACCACCATAAAAAGTTAGGAAATAAATAAATTATGCCTCTTTCATTCTAGAACGAACACAAATTATAACACAAAAACATAAATGTTTAGACTAAATAGCTTAAATCTCATAACATTATACATTTATATATACTTATTATTTTTATTATATTGACCTTTCAGCCGTGCCTGGCTAAAAATACAAAAGTTACAATGACGTGGCTCACGTGCACTCATGTTACCTTTTAAATAACATAAAACTGACCTTTGGTCTGTACAAAGTAACTTGTCTTGGCTTTGTTTTAGTAGACTAGTATTTTGTAAAATATAGTCACATTTCAATTATTATACATTATATATCTATATAGATTATTGCTATTTTGAATAAAGTTCTTAAACTTATTTCTCTTAAAACATAGAACAGAAACTAAAGAAGTAAAGCAAATAATTATGATCTTTGTACTCAGTTGCTGCTTGACATAGGTTGCTAAGCCTTTAAAAAATTTGCATGTGGATGATATGAAACAAAATATTTTTTTTAGATTTTATATACACATTTGAATAACTAAAAAATCAGAAATTACTACATTAATACCATAGAATTCAACTATAATTTATCAAGCTCAGTAACTAAGATGTATTTTAGTCTAAAAGAATATTAAATTTCGAGCAGACTAAAGACACCCCCTACCTGGTTGAAATATTGGTTCTAAAGAAAGAAATGGTGCCAACCCCATTAAAATAACTGAGAAAGCCACTAGGGGCATTCTGAGCTTCCAATTGGTTATTCATGTCATATATAAAAGTCAGTGTATATAAAGGAGCATTTCCAAAAATGGAAAGAGGTGAGCAGGGTTCCACTATGTTTGATTTATTACATGAGCAATATCTTAACAAATTGAAAAGATAAGAGGCTCTTATTTTATATTTTGGTTTGTCAATATCAGTAATTTAAATTCCTAATTCATATGAAACTATAGACTTAGTATTTTGACTTCACAAACATCTAACTTGAACC